TTTTTTCACCACTTAGCTGTTTTTTAGCTTAACCTGTGTAATAGAAGAGGGAAAGAATTGAAGTAGCGTCGAAGTTACTGTATATGTAACTTTGCATTGAAATTGTGCATGTGTGCCCAGAGAACTGGTTCTGATGAGTTATAACAGGAAATGCTCTAATCTGCCTGTGAAGGTTTGTCAGAGAGATTCTAGTAAAATTGATCAGTCTGAGCTAGAGTGGCTGAAGGAATTGGTTCTCAAAGCAAACTTGAATAAAGGTCCTCCACTAAGCAATGAAAGCTGTTGTCCTGAGCTGTCGTGAGTCAAAGTGTCTTAAATAGGTGGTTGTCTGAATAAACCTTTCACTGATGATCCTCTGGCATTTACTAGTTATGAGTTCTGGTTTCTCATGGTAGTTGAAGGCGTTGCTTGTGCAGGCAGCATTGAATGAACTTTAAAAGAAGATGGTGTACGTGTTGCAGGTGTTACCAGTAAATGTGTCATGTAGCAATACGTAGCATGCCCATATGTTCACTCACATCAGTGAAACAAAAAGAACAGTGGTCTGAAATACTGTAATTTTGCAGTTTAAGAAAGAAAATTTGCAATAGTGTTCTCCTAGGAGACCAGGATTAAAGTTGTCAGAGATCTGAATCAGCTTTATTCACATTTTGCCTGTGAATATAGATACACCAGTTTACGAGTTTTCTTGATAAGTTAGTAAAGGAAGTATTTGAAATAAGAATGGAGGTTGACTTTTTTCAGCTCTGGCTGAAAATGTTTCACAGCAAGTGAAATCTTTACTACAGGAAGGACTAGTCTAAATATTCCTTGATGCTTGAATGTATGTGACTAGTAGAAGAGTTTATTAATGTTGTATGGTAGGTTATATAGGGAAAATGATCATGCTTGTATGAATAAAAGATACTCATTCTGGGTTTCAGAGACCCAGAAAAGTACAGGGTAAAAAAATTCAAGGTATGTCTTTCCAAAGTGTCTGAAAAGCAGGTGGCAGGATTTGCTTTTCTGAAACTGCAAATATTTTCACATCAGAGATGCATCCAATTTAGGATTAAGAGCTCAAACCTGCACCTGTTAGTAATTTTTTGAGGGGCAGAGAGCAGTTTACTCTTGGTCCCAGTGCACAGATGGAATATATGGTCTCTGTGTGAGTAAACTGGCCCTGGTTTTATCTGTAGAAAGTTATATGATTTCTGTTTGTTTCAATACAGTTTATATTAAAATAGCTTCAGAATTGTCTGATTTCATGACTAAAAGAAAGTAATGATGGCTGACACTTGGCCTTAATGGTGTTTCTAAACTAAAGTATTTCAAGTGCAATTTTTCTTCTGAATTTTATCAGTAGTTATTAAAAACCCTTCGTCTTTATTTGGACAAAACATGAGCTTTTGTAGTTTTTTTTGGTGCTGTTGCCAAAGACCAGTGATCTGAAAAGGAAAATAATTGCTGCTTCTGAAAGACAGTAATATCCTTTTCTTGCCTTAAAATCTGGAATAGAAAACCTTTAAATATTTTCAAGTTGCTTATGTGTAATGTAGCCACAATGCATTAAGCAGTTGTACATTTATGGATGACGTTCTTTGTAATGATACAGCTTAAGTAAAGTGTAGCTCTTTTGTTTCGTATAGAATTTAAAATAGTTATAGTGGGATGTTATTTAAGGGTGGGAATTGAATGGTACTTCAGAAGTAATGTGATTTAATTACATTAGTCAGCGCTTTTGTATATGCACAAGAATTATATCTTACAGACTATAAATACTCTTCTTGCTGAAATGAAATTTGAAACCAAAATGCTAGCATCTAGTGTTCTTGCATTTCAACTTCTGAAAATCTGTCCTGTCATTACTAGCTTCATCTGGCTGCCTTATTACTCTGCATACACTTAATGCACTTATAATACATTCATTCAAGAAGGTATAAAATATATGTACCTTGGTACAACAGGAGCTTTGTTTTATCCAAATATAAAAAAAATAGTCTTGTGAAATATAATGATAATATGGCAGTTCCTAAGGTCTTTTGTCATGGGTAAATTTGTCATGTGACTAATTAAAGTTGTGAAACATGTTTATATCAATGAGAAGGTGAAAAAAGTTTCTGGAAATATTTTTACATTAATATATTCTTTGTTTGGAAGATAATTTAAATTTAATGAGCATGTATAGCATTACTAGAAATGAATCATAAGCAAAAACTAGCATTTTACTTGGAGGCATAAAAATTGAGGAATTCCACTGCATAGAAAGAATAAAACATTTCATGTAATGTCCTGTTGATGGATGAGAATGATGATTTGTTCTGAGCTTTGGTGTTGAATCATGTCTTAGATCTGTATTGGTTTTGACACTGTTCTTACATTCTTTCACAGTATATGAGGAGTTCTTAAAGTATTTCACTAATTATTTTTTTTTTTGTCATCCTGCTTTTTAAGGAACTGAGAGTAGTGTTGGTTTAGTTTGGTTTTGATTGCACAACTGTTATAAAAAAATTACGTTAACATGTAAATTAAAATCTTATCCAAAAAGAAGACAACTTCAGTTAAGCAGAAGTGTTAAATGACTACCCAAGTCTAGGGGCGGCTTTCATGAAGTCATGCACAAGTTCTTAAAGACTCCGAAAGCTGACCAAGGCTACAGTTAACTGTTGTGTTGTCTCATAGGAGTCTTCAACAGTAAACAGGGCAAAATAGAGAATCCCAAAGCACTTTTAGTTATGCTAGAAGGCAACAGACCAGAGTTAGATGCACAAATATGGGAGGGAAATAGTTGTTATGAACAGAAGTTGTGATTTAACAATACTTCAGCACAGGAATCTTCATCTAAGGGGTTAAAAGGAAAAAATTTTTTATGGGAAGCTTATTCTATGTATGGCAGATAATCCAAAGGTCATTGATTGAAAAAGCTAATATAGCCTGTGATTTTAGTTTATTCAATTAATGAGAAGTTGGAGTTGACCTTTCCTACTGATTGTGAGGTAATAAGGTAGTAGTGAAGTGCTATGAAATTGAAGATGAATAGCCTAAGTTTGCTGCAGAAAAAAAAGAGGGACCCAATGAAAAGATAAGGGGAAAATCGTAGTGTGGTTAGTGTTCATAAGGATTTTGAGTGTCCATAGAGCAAAGCTGGATTTGTTAAAATTAGAGTAGTGTTGCAAAAAAAAATCAAAGGGCAGGATGGAAAGAGAGTAGGTGAGATTTCTCAGCAGTATGGGGAAGGAGGAAGAATTCTCCTTTTATGTCAGTATTGCATTTGTAGTTTAGAGGTGGATTAACATAGCATCTCTGACTTTACACTGAAATTGTGCAGAAGTCCTCTCTCTCAGAATAAGGATGAGTTAAATTTGTACTCCCATATTAACTCTATAAACAGTGTGCTGCTGCCTCTCAGCCCTGAAATTTTGCTGTTTCATTATTTCCAAAGTATCGTCTCAGCAGTTTTGTCCACTGCCTGCCAGACTTTATGGTGCCAGGGAGATCTCGCTCTTCTCTGGCTCATGTTTAGAGGCGGGCTACCCTCAGTCTGTTTAGAGATAATGTTGGAAAACAGAAAAGATTAAAAGGTTCAGTGATGTAAGTAACTTGTTAGCAGGACCTTAGTTGTACTGTACGTAGTGCCAGGCTAGCGAATAGTGGAGCACAGAGCATCTAAATGTATAGTTAAGGAACCTGGAAAACTTACAGTCAGAATGTGAGGTTGTAGAAAGGGATTCAAAGCAATAGGTGATGTTTAAGTTAAAGGCCTGAGTTACAGAATGAGATTTATGGTTTGGGTGGAAAGAGACCATTCTAGATGAAGTGGTTTGATCTGTGAAGGTGCTAGTTGACTTTGAAGGTTAAGACATGAAATAAAAAGGAAGAAAACCACTGACAAAACCCTGAGGAATCTACATAGAAAATGGAGCAGAGAATAAGGAGAAGCTACTTAGAAGAAATGCTGAAGGAGTGATTTGATAAGTGAGAGGTGGATATCATGGAAACTGATGAAAGATGAAGTGAACTGTGTTTTACCGTGGGAAGGGTCAAGGAGGTTGAAGATAGAATATTGGTTCTCTTGTGTATGTATCTAAGAAGTTATGAGAAATTTTGGCAAGAACATTTTTCATTGTTAAAGACAATTTTTTTAAAGGATGAAATGAACAGAGGGAAACTTCAGAGAACAGTTGAAAATAGTATATTCTTTGAGCTTGGCAATGAAAAGACAAGAACTACAATGATAGTCTGACAGATGTATGAGGGACAGATGTTCTGGTATCACTTTATTTTTCTATATGTTACAATATACAAGCCTGTAATGAAAAAAAAATTATATAGGCTAATAAAGTTGCTCTATTCAGTTTCAGGGCTGATTGTTTTCGTTAGTAACATAATCTGTGATCAAGTGGAAGAACAGCCGTAAGATTACATAAAAATTAGTTATTCCATATGTACCTAATAAACATTTCAATGTATATGTGGACAGTTGCCGTAGGGAATTTTGATAAATTATAACTTAAATAATTTTTAACTTTCTCTTATAGCAGAGAGAAACTGAGTGCTTTAACTAATATATATCAGATATATGTACGTACAGCAGGTTTTCCTTCATTGTTTATTCCTTCATTGTTTCTAAATTATGTTAAAGGTAAAGCAATTGTGGATAAGAATTCAATAGTTCAGCCTGAAAAGTACATTTAATATGCCCTTAAATATCTCAATTGTGCTTGCAACTGTTAATAGCAATTCTTTAGCAGTTGAGATGACAAATTGATGTATTTTTATTGTAAGGTGTTTTCAAAATTGCTTGGAAAAATAATAGCGTTAAGAAAAGAAGATCTGCCAAGAATTGATGTTAAATATCCATTGTTTCCTGGTTATGTTTTGCATTTTTATTTGTTGTGGTATGTACCTGTTGTTCTATCATTGTTTTAGCACTCTGTATGTAAAATTTATGTGCAATAATATTAAACCTGAAGGAGGAATCTTGTTTGCGAAATGATAATTTGGCAAATATGTTTTTGCAGATACCTTTTGATATATAATCCTATGGAACAAGAGCGATTTTCAGTGGTTTCAGTCAATGTGAATTCACCCAGAGTTAAAATATTATCTCCTTTGGGAAAACCTGTTACCGTCCAGATTAGTGCTGTTTGGGATGGAGCAACTACAGTATCACATGAAGCATATCAGGTATACTACTTTAAGTAAAAAGCATTAAAGTATTTTTTGACAGATATTGTCGCTTCACAGTTCAAGGAAATGGAAAGCATACTTCAGATATTGACAGTTCTGTCTTCTGCAGATCATGCTATTAATTCAGTCATTTTAAGGAAAAAAAGATAGATATATATATTTAGCATTAATGTTTCTTAAACTAATAAGTTATTAAACTTTTGTGATATAGTGTATTACATGTAAAGGGTCAGTTTCAGCTGTGTGAACAGAAAAAACTGGATTTGGACTTTTCCCCCAACTTTCCAAAGCTGCTTTTTCTTTCAAATGGTAGTCTATACAAACTTTCACACAGTCTGTGTGTGCTCAAGCACTACATCTGGAAGTTTTTGTAAGTCCAATGGCTTAAGCGGTTAGATTCTGACTTTTTTTTTTTTTGTCTTCTACATATAGAGGCTTGGATAGTAACCTAGATTACTCTTGTACTCAAGCTAGACAGATGACTTTGAGTCCACCTCTTGCTTTTGGTTTTAAACGAAGTTTCTGAGAATTTTTGAATTATACATCATTATAGAAGATGGTCCTCAATGACCACACACCAGAAACTGTATTTTGTTAAATTCTTAGTGTAGTATTGTAGTAGTGCTGTACTGTGTGTATATATACATATATAAAAAATAGTACTGTATTACTTTCAAGCTTACCTTCTTAGTCTGATTCTTTTTGACTTGGAAGCCAAGTTGAACTTGTTTCAGGATATCTTCCTGTGAAGATAATTCACTAAGTGTCTCTCAGTTGTCCTTCAAAGGGATAATTTTTGATAACTGCTATGGGTTAGCCCTGGTAAGCAGCACAGCCCCACATAGCTGCTTGCTTACTGCCCCCAGTAGGATGAGGAGAGAACTGGAAGGGTAACAGTGAGAAAACTGGAGGACTGAGATAAAGATAATTTAATAGGTAAAGCAAAAGCTGCGCATGTCAGTAAAGTGAAATAAAGAATTCATTCACTCCTTCCTATCAGCAGGCAGGTGTTCAGCCATCTCCAGGAAAGCAGGGCTCCGTCATGCATAATGGTTACCTGGGAAGACCAACACTGTCACTATGTCCCTTCTTCCTTCTTCTTCTCCCATTTTTTATTGCTGAGCATGACACCGTATGGTCTGGGCTATCCCTTTGGTCAGTTATTGTCAGGTGTCCCAGATGTGTCCCCTACCAGCTTCTTGTGTGCCGCCAGCCTGCTTACTGGTGGGGCAGTGTGAGAAGCAGAAAAGGCCATGTAAGCACTGCTCAGCCATAGCTAAAACATCCCTGTATTATTAACACTGTTGATATCAAAACATAGCACCATATGAGGTACTGTGAAGAAATTTAACTGTATCCTGGTCAAAACCAGTACAATAATTAGCACTGTTAATTGTCTGAAGGAGAAGAAGAAATAAAATTACATACCTGTACCTCAAATTCTAAGCAAATTGCTTTGGAGATCTACCTTGTATATTGCTTTTCTGTGCAGATTAATTTATAGCTCCTAAATAGCCAGAGACTGAAAATGAGACAGTTGCTTTATATTTTGCTATTTAAATTTGTGGATTTTTAAATGTGACTTAAGTGGTAAGTAGGGTCTGTGCACATTTGATACATGCATCTTTATTGCACAGCAAATATACTCAGAACTGCACATCACAGCTAACACTGTTTTTTAACAAGATTCTGAATCATTACTGCATTATTATAACAGTGATCTTGATGCTAAGCAAACTAGCAATGCAGGCATTTTTGTTTGCTAATTCTTCTTAACATGCTTCAGCTATTAATTTGGGAATGCCATTTGTAATTTCATATTCATTTTTGTAATGTAGAAAAAAAATCAGCCATCCTAAAATAATTGAAGTAAAAGGAGTTACTCTGAGCATAAATTTAATATAAAAAGTGGATACTTTGATGTTTTTAATGATGGCCTCTTCTTTTCTCCCAACAGATCTCTTTTGTGGCGCACCTACCACCTCTGGGGTTTGGAGTTTACCAGCTTTTGGAGGTTCAGAGTTCAGAAGCAGTTTTAGCAGACTATAATATATACATGAGAAATAGTCGGCAGGAGAAGCCAGACAGACTTTTCAAGATAAAAGAGATGCAGAATTCTGTGGATAATATAATCTTAGAAAATTCTTACATGAAACTGTGGTTGTCTGGAATGTCTGGATTACTGGAGGTGTGTAGCGTTATAGTTCACAACTGTATGGTTTACTTTAAGAACTTCTGGTTTTATTCCTGGAAACCTAAATGTGTCAGCTATTTCAAGTATGATTCTCTGTCCTTAGAAAATAAATACCAAAGAAGATGGTAAAAATCATCAGATGAAGGTTGAGTTTGCTTGGTATGGAACTACAAGTAACCGGGATAAAAGTGGAGCTTATCTCTTCTTACCAGATGGAGACGCCAAGGTAAGTCTTCCATTTGCAGAGAGATTCTAATCTTGAAGTAACTTGAAACGTTCTGCAAATACAGATTGGAAGAGCTATTTTTCCCCAACACTGAAATACAGCTGTGTGACTAGAAATAATGACATCAGTGATTGAAATGATTGGCAAAACTTCATACTTCATAACCCTATGTTTGAGTAAAAACACAGCGTTAATTTGGAAGTGTAAAAGTATACAGATTATTTATGATTCACCAAAACACTTAAATAAGTTGCTAACCTTGCAAGAAATCCAAACTGGGAGTTCTATGTTTACCGCTTCAGGAAATAAGCAAGGGTAATCACATGTAAATCAGTCTGGAAGTGCACAGAACAGTTTCGTTTCCCTTTTGCAGTCTCTTCTAGAAGCACAGGTTTTGAGGTCTGTCAGTTGGCAGTTTAAAACCGTTTAGTGTATTTAGTCTCCTAGTTGTTCACATCAGTTATATTCAACAGGGTTCACTTAATTTTAAAATGTCAGTGGTTCTGATCTGTGAATACCTGAACAATATCAGTTAACGTTTTTTGATTTTTACCTTTCATCAGCTGCATGGTGACACTTTACCTAATTTTATTTTAGATGCCCCTTTGTCTTTTGCTTATAAAACCAATATTCACTAAATTTAACAGTTTTAACTGTTAACTGTAATTTTAACTACACTTTTGAATTATGTGCTGTATAAAAATAAAGTGGACAAATCTAGATAGCAGTATGCTATGGTTTGAACAGAAGTCATCTGTCACATGCCTGCAAGCACAGTTAGAAAATAAGGTACATAATGAACTTTTATGAAAAATGAAATTAAAGTAATTTTTAGTTAACATTAAAAAGGGTGGCATGTTCAGCTTTTGTAACTTTTTATATAATAAAAATGAAATCATGATACTTCTAAAAATTCTGCTTCAGAAATATACCATAAGGCTCATTTGGCTTGCATTTTAATAACATTCATTAGGTTGTCCCACTGGGAATAACCATGTAATCTATAATAGTTCCTAAAACAGTTTGAATTAATGATTTCTGTCTTAAAAGAAATGCCATCTGTTCAGGGTTCTCAGTGTGAGGTGGATTGACTAACATTTTCTAAGTCCCTGTGCAGAGTCAAGATAGGATAGAATACAGACAGTTTTCTTGGGTTTTGGCTAGGTGGTCTTTTTTTCCTGTCCCATTCACCCTATGTATTACTGCAAAATTTGCAAAGAATAATTGCATTTGATGTTGGGTCATTTTGCTCTGGTATGAGTATAGTTAAACATTTTCTTTGCCTTTGTTAGCTGGTTGTTTTGTCACCTGATAAGTCTTTTGGTTCCTTTCTTTTAAGTTCTGCAATACTCAGAAATTATTTTTCTTCATCTAGTTTAATTGTCTGTCTTACTATAATATTTATATAGCCTTTTTTGGTCTTGGGTTCTTCTCCCAGTTTTAGTTTGGAAACTTGGTGCTGTAACATGCTACATTTGCAGGCCACTACTTAAAGCCATGTCAGTTCAGAATGCTTTACATATACAGTGCAGCTCTGGTCATCAGTAGGAGTGTTTTCTGATGGTCTATGTACTAGAATGTACGCAGATCTGGATCTTTCAAGAGGTTCCTTGGATTAATTATCTTTATGGCTGACCAAAAACCAGCCTGGAGTACTGCAAGGAGTGCATTCTTGCTAAGAAGTGGTAAGCCTCTAGTACCAGCGCTAAACTGGTCATCAGCAGAGACCTGGGTTAATGACAGTGATTTACACAGTATTAAATAAAAGGTACACTGAATACCGACAACTCTTTGTAACTTGACTTAAGGCTCTCTGACACCATGGCAAACATTGCTGTTGTGCAGCCAGGCAGCCCCCAGTAAGAGCAGTCTCTGTGGTTAAGGCATAGGGTCTTGACCATGGATGATTCTGTCCTTGCAGTTTTTGAAGCATGAAAGTAGTTCACTGGCAGCCTCAGGTCAGGACATCGATGTGAAGTCCAGGACAATGATACAGAGCAGAGGCTCCGTGCTACAGCTCTAGAGATAAGGCAGTGTTCCTACCATGTCTTTGTATTTTCTGCAAAATAGAACAAAAGCAAGGTACCACGGAAAAAGACAGGCAGTATCTTAATTTTTTAATATGTCAGTGCTGCTTAACTGATTGACAATGTTATCATGTGATATATGACTGTTTGGAAGGAAGGGACTTGCCTTGGACCTCACAACAACTATAAATGAAAGTATCCTGCCTGTGAAGGGAAAACTTATTTGTATCTTGTGATTTTATGAAGGATGGCCAACTCCATAAATCTGTTAGGTCTGGGGGAAAAAAGAAAAATCGGTGTTCAATAAATTTTGAAACACTTAACTGTCTGTATTTTCTTCTATCTATTCAAGAGAATTCAATATGTGATGACCTACTTACTAGCCATGTTCAGTATCAATAAGGAATAGAACAAAACAACTTTTTCCAAAGAGTCAGATGCTAAGTGTTTGTGGGATCAATGTGACTAGTTAATTTTCTTGTCTTACAAATCAATTTTTCAGAATCAAAGAGGACTTTTTTGGTAGACCCAGACTGGGAAATTGTGATTCTCCCTCAGACAGCTGTGTCTATGCATGCATGTATTTACTAGTTGCTGTAAATACTTACCTACTAACAGAATATAAGAAAAGAGATTTATTTTTTTTTTCATCCTGCTGGATCTCTAGTGCTAGAGCTTTTCCCCCTTTAGTCCTCTTCATATTTTGTCTCCATGGTTGGACTTCCTTTGCTGATGATGATCTCTGATTTTTACAGCTGCAGCTGCTGCTATTAGCTTCAAGAAGATTTTTTTTCGTGACATGTCCTTTTTTAATCTGTCGGGATTGCCTGTTGCCTCTACTTCTCAGAGAACACAGTCTGAGTTGTCTAAATGCTTGGCCCTCAAACCTAAGGAAAGATAATGGTATCTTTCTGCATTTTTGTAAGTGAGATTGGGAAGTTCCACTCCCCAAAAGGAGAGAGACTGTCCATTTAGAGTATCCTGCTGTATCCATCTTCAGATCTTCCCTCTCAAAAGGGCAGAGGATCCTCTTTCAAGTATAGCATCCTTTTAATGCTTCCCTTGTTTTTGCATGCGTGGTAACAGGAAAAGACAAGTATGAAGGCACCATTACCTGGAGGATGCTCATAATACTCAAGAATCGGCAGCCTGTGAAGTGTCTGTTCTTTCCTTGGTGATATGTATTTTCCTCAAGCATCATATCTGTCATCTAAAAATCTGCCCCACATATTGGTGGCATTGGTTTTAGAGACAAAAGTATTAAAATGACAACTGTCTCTCTTCTTCCTCGTAATTTTCAAAACACATTTCTCAAGAGCTCTTAGTACTTGATTTTTATTCCCTGCCAAACCCCAGTCTAATCTCAAACCCTGCCAAATGAAGGGTAATCTGCTATTGAGAAGCAGCGTTTCTTGAAGGCTTTGTCTTGAGCTTTTTTTTAAAATCTCAGGCATATCAAAAGCAATTCGAACTGTATTGGAAAACTTTCCTCTGGGCATGGTTTATTTGACTTCCACACCACTAGTGTGCTGCACTGCCAGAAATTTCTAGGCCACATGAAGATGTTTAGTAGCACTTCCCTTGACTGCAAGGGGAAAGGCTTTTGCCCATGCTTCATACCTTCAGACTGCAATATGCCATGCCTGCTTCTATGCAGGCCCATAAACCTTTCAGTGAAGGCATCAGTCCAATTGTATCTTCCCCTTGGCATTTTGGTACCCGATTTGATGCCAAGTATTGTGAGATATCCTATGGAGCTATGGGATATTGCTTTTCTCCAAGTATTCTCCCTTAAAATTTCTAGCTTGCTTTTCTTTCCCTTCCTTCAAGGGGAGGTTGTCATGTTTCTCTTGAATATGAGTACTGAAAAATGGTTTCTGGACCCTTTGACCCAAAGTTCTGTTACCCTGATTCTGAAAATACTGCTTTCCAACCTCAACAAAACCTGCCACAACAGGCTGCTGAATCTTGTACAATGGAACTCATTCCAGTGGAGCTGAGAGGAACAGATTTTAGAGTGACTATTCATTTTAACTGTTTAGAAGTGGAGTCTTGAGAGTGCCGCTGGATATGAGACATGAAACTTTTTATTCCTAATTTAAGGTCTGCGCAATCATAGAGTCCTTCACACTGGAAGGTCATTTAGTCCAAGCTCCCACTCAAAGCAGAATAAATACTGAATTCAGACCAGGGCCTTGTCCAATCAGTTTTGGAAATAACTCTATCACTGTTTGTTCTTTCCACTTAGAAAGGAAAGTGGCTTGTGTCTGAGTAGTAAGAGGCTTATTTCAGCTTCTTAGTCAGACTTTCACATCAAAAGTGTCTACATTTCAGATCCAGCACCAGGATCATTTCACAGACCTTTGTGCATCTCACCAAGGATCTTTACAATGATACTACAATAATGGCACATTCAATGCATAAAGATGTTTTCCTGCTTAAAATTTTGATTCATTGAAATGTTTCAGTGTGGCAAAGCTGGTAAATTATCTCTTTATAGGTTCTGAACTCAGTATGCCTCCAGGTGACTGTCAAGAAATCACTTTTTAGGATTAGTGCTTTTCTAGGCACTAAATATGAATTAGGAGGCTTCCTTATTCTCTCAGTACTGTATTTTTAATTCATTTTTCCTGTTTGCCTAACAACCAGGAAGCAACAGGCATCCTTGAGAACTGGAGTATACATCATAACTCCACTCTTTGTATCAGAAAGAACTTGGCTAACCCCAAAACCACATAATACCACCTGCCTTTGTAACTCTCCTTCCTCTATTCTATCTTTTCCTTGCACTGTGTCTGAATTAGTGGTTTGCAAACTGGTTTGATACATTTCTCTCAATGCATATCCTAGTGGAATCACAAATTATGATTTAAAAAAAATAGATCATTTGTTTCAGACAATATTGCAAAATGACACTTAATTCCTTTTCTTTTCTGTCACCTCATCTTTCCATATAGTTCAGAATGGTAATTATGGTTGCCTTTATCTTCAGCTGGGGAGCTGACCTGGCTACATGCACAGCTTGGAGACTCTGGTGTGTGAACTTAGTGTTTGTGGCAATATCCCAAAATCTGAGAGCTGTTAAATACATCTCATTTCAGCTTTCTACTGATATGTGAACAACATATTTTGGTAGTTGTTGTCAATGTCACTGTTGTGTTTTGTACTAACAAGCTCACTGGAACTGAGTTCCTCCAGGTATTTTTTTACTTTTTGTTTTAAAAAAGAAATACTTCAGGTAATTTTTTCTTTTTTTAATAAGTGCACAGCCTTTTGCATTCCTTTGTCACTCATCCAGCATCTTTCCATTTTGCTGGTTTGGTCCTGGGTAGCTCCAGTGAAAGACTTACTGAGAGATGTTCTTAGAAACAACAGAAATAAGCCTGTAAGATAGGTGTTACTTTGCTAACAGAATGTATTTGGCAGGCTGCTGTTCATGCAAGTAGTATTCTCTTGCGTAATAATTGGTGAGGATATTTGCTTGGCCTGAAGACCTCAGGTCTCTCAGTTCATTTTCTAGGAGTTCCTTTATCTGCTGTTTCAGTCCTTCATTGCTAACATGGGGATCTTCATGTTGCTCTACCCTGCAGGTAGGATTTTGAAGGGTTTGATTATTCCACTTTCCTGTCAATAAAGCAGTTCCTCTGTGGGATTTTAATCTAAACATATACTTCTAAGAGTATGCAGTCACAGGTTAAATGAGCTTGTCTTTTCTACCTATGTGTGATAGAGAAACAGATAGAGAGCGATTTCTTCTGCCAGAAGCATGGGGATGATTCAGTCTACATTTACTGATGTAGGCAGTTTTTCATGGAAATAAGAGAACTCAAAAGCCAGCTCAAATTCTAACCTGAGATCTGGTCTTCAAATTTCCTTTATCCCAGCATATTCGTTCACCTCACTTCCATGCCCTCCTAATACCATATTCCTGTATTTCTCAGCTAGCAAATTGATTTGGCATAACAGATAGCACTTTTCTGTCTTACTGACAAGATGGGACCCCTTGGAAGTATCTCAGCTGTTACGAAGTCCAAAAGACTGTTTCCTCATTTGAGTTTTTGTACTGATTAACTGGATACAATGTTGCTGTAAGATGATCAGTAGAAAAATCCCTCTCTCCCTAAAATAACCCACTTTGGTAAAGTGTAAGCAACTATGATTCCTCTACCAAACTCCTGTACAAAGTATTCCTGTAGCGGATAGCTGCAGAGTTGCCTCTTGGAGCTCTGGCAAAGCTTTTATTTAACAGTGTTCTGGCTGAAGCTTTAAGAATAAATATGTAAATAGAAAGGCAGGCTTTTTGTCTTTGAAAGTCTGTTTCTTGTTTTATACAATACTTCTTGAAATCATCTCTGTGCATATGCATATAGTATATGCTCAGAGAAGATGACTGGATGATAGTACCTGTACTTGTTCTCTGACATGATTTGTCTGTATGTATGTAATCTTGATTTCCTTTCTTCCTCAAGATACATTTGATCTTTGGTTTCTTTGCTTGAGAAGAAAGAGCATGCTCTGTTCTTCTTATGACATTGGTACATACAGGAGGAGGACAGCCACCATCTTTGTGCCTAGATCCTTCTGAATAACACGTTTTTCAAGTATTTTGTTGGTTTTTGAGTGATATCTTTTTTGCTTTTGCCCTATAGTAGTAGCTGCATGTGTTGTATTTTCATTTTTGGCTTTGTACGTGCTTAATATTTATCCCATTTTTACCTTGGTAGCCATCCATTTATTTCTGTATAGTGTATACAGTTCAGTTTGGAATCAACTGTTTAAAAAAAAAAAAGTCATCATTTGCTTAGTCGAGACTCAAAATACTGTGACTACATGGAAAAATAATTCTTCTTCATCTCTTTGGTTTGACTGTGAATATACTAAATTTCTGATAGTCTTTGACAGACATTAAAAAGAACCTAATGTCCTTCTTGAGGTTTCTCAATGGTTCCCAGCTATGCTCTGTGTTCCAGGGGCTACTCTGGCAGCTGTAGCTGGTTTTGATGAAAACAAAACTTCCTCTTTCACTTTCAAAAGGATATGCAAGCTGATCCACAAGAAAGTGTAGAGGCAGCTTTCCTCATGCAGTGTGTACCACTGATATAGTAAACTTTAAGGAATCAAAACAGTTAAATCATCTGCCACAGATTATGAAACTACAGTATTTGATTACTATAGTTTGCTAGCAAAAAAGCTCAATCCGTATGTTTGCAATATTAATACATTACTGTGTTTATCTGTAGGCCTTGTATCCATTACTGCTTATGAAATACCTGTGAGATACGTCATGAGGATTATCCTAATTTTAGCTAAAGGAAAAGTGAGGCTCTGAAGGGAAGTTGCTGAATTTCAGATTAGGAGTAATTTTTAGTTCCCAGTTTTTAGACTAGACTTAGATATAGAGCAGTTTAAAAAATTAAAAAGACTATTTAATATGTATTAAATACTTTGATTTATTGACAGTACATTTATGAAAAGCTTTCGTAGTTCAAAGAGTTATTCTAACTTTCTATTTTCTTTTTGTAGCCTTATATTTTTACAGATCCACCTATCATAAGAGTTGCTCATGGAAAGATTTTCTCAGAAGTTGTATGTTTTTTCCACCATGTGACTCATACCATGCGACTGTATAAAGTTCCAGGTGAGTTGTGAAATCCTGTCTCTCTCAGCAGTTATTTTTCATCACTACAGTCTTGGATCCTTTTTGGACCCTAAACATCTTTTTAATGTTTAAATGCACTTCTGAACTGGTGCAGAATTTGTCAGACTGAAGTCTTTACTGGGTCCAGTGCACCATTATCCCTTTCTGAACATCATGCTAGTCGTTAAGCTAGTGTGCTTAAACTTACCACATTTGTTAGAGATACCTCTCAGTATTAGGAAATTCTATACTACAAATTATCTACAAGGGGGTCACGAACTTTACTGGGTAATCAGAATACTGTGGGTAGCTATAAATTATGACAATGAGAAAAAAAAAATTGAAATATCTTGGAAGTGATGAAAAATGTAGTTTTTTCATACCTTCAAACTTATTGATGGAGGTACAACAATATCTTTTCTAAAGTTGCAAAGAATGTAGTGTTATTTGTTAGCAGCACTAATAGTGAAGTCTGGTTTACTTCACAAGTCTAGGCATGCTTTAGTTACCTGTGAGCTTTGTCTGTATGTCATTTATCTGCTTGGAAGAGCTTGTGACAGAATCGACTGTGTTTTGTTGAGAGGCACCAGCACTGAACACTGGCTTATTGACTCTTAGGACATAACTTCATATCAGTTTTGCTTGCTTTTCTTTCAGTAAAGCTTTCTTTTTTTTTTTTTCCCCCTACTGTTCATCTATTGATTTCCAAGAAAATTCTAGGAAAACAGTAACTCTGGAAACTCTGTACCCTTCCAAACTTGATGATTAAATTGGCCAGTGAAAAATCTAAAAGAGGGAGGAAACCATGGTGAAATTGTATAAACCTGTTATCCTGTAGAAACTTGATTTAAAATGCTAAAGTGTATCTTCTTGTAATTGAAGTAGGAAACATATGTTTTCAGTTGTTCATCCATTTGTATTTACTCTGCTGGAATTTATTTGAAATACAGGAGCATTGGCTAGTATTTCAACACTTGAAGGAACTTAAACATGTTTTGTATTAGCATTACTTTTACTGTACGTGTCCAAATTGTCTGCATGGGTTTTAAAATCTTATTTGTCATATTTTGTTATTTTTCTAAACACCTTCAAAAACAAGTAATGGGGCTATAAGTACTTTGAAAGTCTGCCTTGTCCTTTTCCTTAGTCCTTTTAGGTTTCAAAAATGCTATTGCCAGCATTACCTACTTTATAGTCATGTAGAACTGATCTGTTTGGGTTGGTTTTTTTTTTTTTTTTCATTTGTAATATATTTCTCTTTACAACTAAAATTGATTTAGATATGTCATTTTTTTATGACATAAGTGTATACTTTGAAGTTGCTGGGGTTTACCCATATGCCATATACTGATCAGAGTTCAGTTGCCAGATCGTGTGATACAGTAATTCTAGAACACATTCCTTATGAAAACAAACCAAGATGTTGTGTAGTAATTTGTTGTTGAAGATCCTGAGGAAATATGTTTATCACAGAATCACAGAATCACAGAATGGTTAGGGTTGGAAGGGATGTCTGGAGATCATCTAGTCCAACCCCCCTGCCAGAGCCGGGTCACCTACAGCAGGTTGCACAGGACAGCGTCCAGGCGGGTTTTCAGTGTCTCCAGAGTGGGAGACTCCACAACCTCTCTGGGCAGCCTGTTCCAGTGCTCCACTACCCTCAAAGTAAAGAAGTTCCTCCTCATGTTAAGATGGAACTTCCTATGTTCAAGCTTGTGCCCGTTACCCCTCTCCTATCACTGGGCACCACTGAAAAAAGACTTTTCCCACCCCCCTGGCATCCTCCCTTCCCTGTCCTTCTTGAACTGGGGAGCCCAGAACTGGACACAGTACTCCAGATGAGGCCTCACCAGGGCAGAGTAGAGGGGGAGGATGACCTCCCTCGACCTGCTGGCCACACTCTTCTTGATGCACCCCAGGATGCCATTGCCCTTCTTGGCCGCCAGGGCACATTGCTGGCTCATGGTCACCCTGTTGTCCACCAGGACTCCCAGGTCCCTTTCCACGGAGTTGCTCTCCAGGAGGTCAGCCCCCAACCTGTACTGATGCATGGGGTTATTCCTCCCTAGATGCAGTACCCTACACTTGCCCTTGTTGAATTTCATCAGGTTTCTCTCTGCCCAACTCTCCAGCCTGTCCAGGTCTCGCTGTATGGCGGCACAGCCTTCTGGCGTGTCAGCCACTCCTCCCAGTTTTGTGTCATCAGCAAACTTGCTGATGGTACACTCTATCCCTTCATTCAGATCATTGATTAATATATTGAACAGTACTGACCCCTGAGGGACACCACTCGTCACTGACTTCCAACTAGACTCTGCACCACTAACCACAACCCTCTGAGCTCTATTCAAGGTCATTTTTTTTTTTTATTTTATGTGACCAATATGTAGAGCAGCTTAGATGAAAAAAAGGGTACCTTGAGGTCAAGAAGTACTAGGTTGCCAAAAATGTGAAAAGAAAACTACTCTTCTTTGTGGGTTTCAGTAAATTAAACTTATTAGCAAGGAGGGAACTTACATAAAGAGGATGTTTATTGTAGTGAAGGGGAGGGAAAAAGCCGGGAAAAAGCCTGAAAAGTCTGTTTAGGGTGAGGTTGGTTATTTTTTTACAAAGGATTTTTTTGTAATACTCCCTTTTCTTTAATTTGTTAGTAAGTGCCTACCAGAAGTATTATACTTCCATTTCACAGCTCAAAGAACATGAGTTGTCAGTGAAAATCACTTGTTGCCAGTAGCTAACACCTAAGTTTACCTTTCATTTTGAGTGCACTATATAGGGCTTTTTTCTTTTTTGGGTAAAATTTTTAATTCATCACACTATTTCAATACTTACGCCATTACCTATACAGTCATCGTGGTGAAGTCCTGTACCATGTTCCCAGCTTTTACAAGGAAAAATGATTCCATTATTTTATATATTTTCTCTGTTTACTTTTATGATGTGTTTTTATTTTAATTTCTTCATATGGAATGGCCTTTTTCAAAGTTTAAAAATGGCTGATTTTGCATCATTGTTTTGCTAAGGTCTCTTTCCTGGGCTTTGTAAGGGAGGTTATTTGTATAGGATTACTTCTATTAAAAAAGGTATCTTGAAGTCTTACTAGATATGAACAGTAACAAAGCATGTGGAGAGAAATAAATGTGTATGTGTATATGTACATTTTGTTTTTAAATAAAGACCTGATACTCCTGTTGCAATCTACCTGCTTGCCAGGGGATAGAAAGCCTGGTCACATGGCTAATCCAACTGTTAGACAGTACTTCCGAGTCCTACAGCTTCTTCAGCAATTTTGGTGAAACACTGCGTTTTCCACTTTTGACTTTAGAATTCTGTTAATTTTGAGCAGAAAACACTCTGACTTGACAACTCTGTTCAGTAGTTGACCAATGAGTGATTTTTAAATTTTTCTGCTGCCATTGGCATCTGTTTTTGATATCAGCTTGCTTTTGTGTCAGAAGCTGCTTATGTTCCATTATCGTCATAATTTTATTTTTTTATTAACTCAAATTATGCAGTAGAAAAGAGCTGAGAGTAATTCATGGTCTGGTCATTTTAAAATTGTAAATTGAAATATTGTTCCCTTGTTCAATGTACTCGTGCTTTAACAGTCCTACTTTAGAATAGTCAGAAAATCTATGACTAAGAGCGTCAGAAGTGGAGTGTATAGATCCACTTTTTCCTGACTGTGTCTGAGAAAATACAAGTAATTACCTGAAGGGAGTTTTTTTCATTTAGCACTGTAGTATAATAGCCACTGGTAAATGTTAACATTTTAGCAGGTGCTGGTACTGCTGCAGGTGGCGTTCAGATTTTGAAAAAGATGAGGAAACAAATACAGAGCTTGACATCCTCTTCATTTGGGTGACAAAAATCACTATATACTTAGTATGCATTTTACATACTAAATAATAGCATAAAAATTGAAGCAGGTGGACACTTTCAGCATTCCATTGTGTAAAGGTTCAGAGTGTTTGTTTTAGAATTTGACAAAGTAAAGACCTTCTTAAGGAAACTACTCAACATGCTCTCAAACAGAACTGCTAAAAAAAAATTTGAAACCTGTATGTGTAGAAAGAAAAAGAGGTTGTGCTAACCTCTGTCTGGGTGCTTAATAGTCTAGGAATTTTATTCAAATGCATTTTGTCCTTCTGCAAAAGATTCTACAGTTCAGGAGCCTAAACTGATGAGCATGCCTGTGGGCCTTGTGAGTTGACATACAGTGAAATGTTGGGGGAAAAAAAAAAGTATTAAGTATCTAAGATTTTTAAATACTGTCTTCAAGTTTTAAAGGACTGTTACTAAGTTGGTTAATCAGTCCCTCACTTTCTACCATCTTCTGTCTACAATCTGTCAGAAAAGCACAATGTAATTTCATCTCACTACAAAGAGATATTTCATATCTCTGTTCTGCTGGGTGGAATTCTTTTCACAATTGTTGACTACGTAGAAGTGGTCATGCTGAATGAAGGTATGATTCCATCCAAACTGTATCTTGAACTATTTGAAAAGGTTGGGTTCTTATTAAAGGTATTTAATTTTCAGTGTGAGACACTGTAGAAGAAAGTCTCACTGAACATCTGTCTGCATTTTCAGATACTTAATCCTTCTTTTAATAAATAGGCATCTTTGACCTGTCAGCAAAGACTTGTGTCCTGGTTGGGGTCATACCAGCGTTTGGTTTCTTAATTCACTGTCCTGAAGGAAGATTGCCTCTGTTCTGATTAAAACAGTAGACGAGTTGCCTGCTTAGTGGAACAGTTGCTGTCAAGAAGCTGGAACTTCGTTCTTGTTTGTGGATGGCAACAGCTACGTAAGAGTCAAGGAGAGAAGTAAATGGCTAGGTCTTGCTCCAGCATATTACCTGCTGCTAATGACGGCACTTAACAGCTGTTTGCTGTTTCCTTCTGATTTACCAGATCCCATATTGTTTCTTACCATGAATTGCTTCTGTTTGACTTCAGTGAAGTTTTCAGACTGTCTGCTCAATGAGTACTGCATTAGAAGTACTGCTATATCATATGGTACATAACTGAACTGGCTTCAAATATCTGGTTAGGTATAACAGAAAAGGAAAACCAGCAAGCAAAAACTGGATAGATCACTGTGTTCTGGGAGGATAGTCATTCTTGTATATGTGGCAATCACTTTTAAAAATTTAAAATGCATCTTTTTCATATAGGTCTGGAAGGCCAGTCTCTTGAAGTTTCCAATATTGTGGATATTAGAGGAGAATATAATCGTGAGCTTGCAATGAGAATTTCATCTGACATAAACAGTCAAAACAGATTCTATACTGATCTTAATGGATATCAGGTAATTATTGTCTATTAATTACAAAAGCCTAGGGTGTCAGTTTTGGACTATCTTAATGCTCCTGATTGTAAAGAGTTTAGAGTCACATTAATCAAACTCTGATGTTAAACTCCACTAATCATTTAAAAGGAGAAAATCTTTAATAATGTATCCATTATAAAATTTGATTTAGACCAGATGACATAGCAACTGTTTTCTTTTCAGTTTGTTAAATATTCCTTTATGTCCTTTTTAACATAGAAATTGTAATACAGCGAGTTATGACAAGCCACCATGTAGTTGCTTGTATATCTGCATGCCTTCTTTCCCCTCTGCTTTGTCTATTTAATTAAAGCCCTTTGGGTTGCACAATACTAAAGGTGCATAAGGTCCAGGAACTCGGACCTAGAGAACAACTGTTTGCTGCTGTGGTGGAAATAAGTGATGTACTTTTGGAGTGTAATAACTTGTTCTATTGGTAATCCATCTGATAAAATATAGTGTGACTATTTTCTTAACTTGGACTCTGCAGCAAACACAAAAGAAAGAAAATTTTCATAGAATCATAGAATGGTTTAGGTTGGAAAGGACCATGAAGATCATCGAATTCGAACCCTCCTGCCATAGACAGGGACACCTCCCACTAGACCAGGTTGCCCAAGGCCACATCCAGCCTGGCCATGAACACCTCCAGGGATGGGGCCTCAACAACCTCTCTGGGCAACCTGTTCCAGTGCCTCACCACCCTCATAGTGAAAAATTTCTTCCTAATGTTTAATTTAAACCTGCCCTCTTCCAGTTTATAGCCATTCCCGCTCATCCTATCACTACATGCCCTAGAGTCCTTCCCCAGCTCTCTTGTAGGCCCCCTTTAGGTGCTGGAAGGCCGCAATAAGATCTCCCTGGAGCCTTCTCTTCTCCAGGCTGAACCTTACCTTTCTTCCTTGCTAAAAATAATTTTGCAAATATATCAAAAACCATACGTGCTGGGTAAAGGACTACTGTTTTTCCAGTTAATGTGTAGTACTGCGTTTTGCTGGAGACAGTAAAGTGAATATTTAAACATGAAAATAATTTTAGTACTACTACTCATTTGTCATGTACCATTCAAGAATTCCACTAGCACTTTAATAAGTTTCCATTATAAACCTACAATTCATTTTCTGCTACCTTGAATCTATTCTCTGCTTGCTCTCTAGAGGAGGAAGTTTTTTCTCTCATTCTATAACTGTGATTATTGCTTTTTTTGTAGGTTCCCTTGATGAATCTTTCAAGTTTTTTTAAATAGTTTTTGATCTAAAAGTACATTGAAGTTATCATTTCCAAAATGGTAATTTTAGCCACAAATCTCCAAAAAAGCTAAATAATACAGTCTAGTGAATGCTTTGGTGCCAGTTGCGGTTCTGAAGCACATGGGGTAAATGTCTGAAAAGGTCTTTGAAATATAAATGTATAAAAAGAATGTATTTCATTGAAGTTCATGTTCATACTGCAGATCCAGCCCAGGCTGACAATGAGCAAATTACCTCTTCAAGCAAATATCTATCCTATGACTACAATGGCTTATATCCAAGATGTTGGCGTTCGTTTGACACTTCATTCAGCTCAATCTCTAGGTGTTGCAAGCTTGAAAAATGGTAAGTATAAGATGATAGATATTATAAAGGCTTGTCCTTCATGATTGTCTGAAATAATTTGTTCAGAGATTACCATACCTACTAGCATTTGAAGAAAGGAGATACATTTCTCCAAATCTGACAAGTTTTAGAATATGTCTTTAAGGAACGATGTAGAGGTTGTTCCCACATGAGATCCTGTCATCTTCAATGGAAGATCTGTCTCAGACTAGAGACAGAGGAAAGAGATTACAAAAAAGACAAAATGAGCAATAAATTGTCATAACTAGGTATTTTTCACCCAAGAACGCTGAGGGAACTCAAGGACGAAACAGCAAAACTAAGGGGTTTGTTCTCTTTTGTGCTCTGGTAGCAGAAGGCTTAAGAGGGACAATATGATGCTGATCATGTTTTTTGGTTTGTTTGTTTGCTTTAGGGTAGAAAGCGCTAGTCTTAAGGTATATGCAATATAGCCTAACATCCCTGTCAAAGAAAACATTAGCAGTGTTTTTGAAGACTGGAAATAGTGAAATAAAGGATAAAAATGACGCTGGGTAAGAATAAACGTACTTCTTCTGAAGCAAAATCATACCTCACAAATTTAATGGAGTACTTTGAAAGAGCTGATGAATATGTTGACAAGAAAAATCAATTCATATTAAGAATTCCAAAAGGGATGCAACCTGTCCCTCACAGCAGAGAGGGTGATGATAAATGACCTTGGAGGGGTGGAAACAAAGGTCAGTTGTTCAGTCTATACTGCTACCAGAATGACGAGGCATTAAAATAAATGCGTTTGACAAACATTTGTCAATGCATTTGACGCTGTCCCACATTGCATCCTTGTCTCTAAATTGGAGAGACATGGATTTGATGGATGGACCGCTCAATGGAATAGGAATTGTCTGGCTGGTTGCGCTTAAAGAGTTGCAGTCAACGGTTCAATATCCAAGTGAAAGACGAGTGACAGGTGGCATTCATCAAGCATTGGTATTGATACCAGTGCTGTTTGACATCTTTGTGGGGGGCATGGACAGTGGGATTGAGTGCACGCTCAGCAAGTTTGCCAACGACACCAAGCTGTGTGGTGTGGTTGACACACTGGAGGAAAGGGACGCCATCCAGGGGAACCTGGACAGTCTGGAGAGGTGAGCCTGTGCAAAACTCATGAAGTTCAACAAGGCCAAGTGCAAGGTCCTGCACATGGGCTGGGGCAATCCCAAGCATAAATATAGGCTAGGTGGAGAATGGATGGAGAGCAGCCCTGAGGAGAAAGACTTGGGGATGTTGGTGGATGAGAAGCTCAACAGAGCCAATAATGTGTGCTCGCAGCCCAGAAGGCCAACCGTATCCTGGGCTGCATCAAAAGAAGCAAGACCAGCAGGTTGAGTGAGGTGATTCTGCCCCTCTGCCCTACTCTCATGAGACCCCACCTGGAGTAGTGGATCCAGCTGTGGTGTCCCCAACATAAATGTCGTACAGCTGTTGGAACGGATCCAGAGGAGGGCCACGAAGATTATCTAAGGGCTGGAGCACCTCTGCTGTGAAGACAGGCTGAGAGAGTGGGGGTTGTTCAGCCTGGAGAAGAGAAGGCTCCGGGAAGACCTGGTAGTAGCCTTCCAGTACCTAAAGTTGGGAGGGGGCTATGAGAAAGCTGGAGAGGGACTTTTACAGGGGCCTGTTGCAGTAAGACAAGGGCTCGTGGCTTTAAACTGAAAGAGGGTAGAGTTAGAATAGATATTAGGAGGAAATTCTTTACTCTGAGGGTGGTGAGGGCCTGGAACAGGTAGCCCAGGGAAGTTGTGGATTCTCCCTCCCTGGAACTGTTCAAGGCCAGGCTGCTTTGAGCAACCTGGTCTAGTGCAAGGTATCCCTGCCCATGGCAGTGGGGTTGGAACTAGGTCATCTTTAAGGTCCCTTCCAGGCCAAATCATTTTATGATTCTATGAAATAAAGCTAGCAAGTAGTTGGCAAAATAAGGTACATAGTTCATAATTTAAGATGTATGATTCCTTGCTGTAATACATTGTGAGTTTGAATTTACATGGTTTTGAAAAACACCAGAATGAATACTTAGAAGAAAAAAAACCCATCAGAAGCTATGCCAAAACCTACTTCCCAGTTTCTTCCAGTACCTAAAGGGGGCCTACAACAGAGCTGGGGAAGGACTTTTTACTAGGGTATGTAGTGATAGGACGAGGGGGAATGGCTTTAAACTGGAAGAGGGCAGGTTTAGATTAAACATTAGGAAGAAGTTTTTCACTTTAGGGGTGGTAAGGCACTGGAACAGGTTGCCCAGAGAGGTTGTTGAGGCCCCATCCCTGGAGGTGTTCAAGGCCAGGCTGGACATGGCCTTGGGCAACCTGGTCTAGTGGGAGGTGTCCCTGCCTAAGGCAGGGGAGTTCGAACTCGATGATCTTCATGGTCCTTTCCAACCTAAACCATTCTATGATTCTATGATTCTTTTCAGAAAAATGTCATATTAATGTCTCAAAAGGTGAATACTCTACTGGATTGATGGCATTATTAGCAAAGCTAATTCATTTCAAGGCAAAAAGTTAACACTGGTCTATAGACCGATGCTTTAATAAACCCATAGTGGAAAATATCAGCCTCATTCCAAGACTACCTGATACAGGACCCAAAACACGTTTTTTCATGCCTTCCTTTGCGCCTGGTCTTGTGAATTAACTTGATACCACCAAACGTTTGTAGGCACTTGTTATGTAGGTATTGGAGACTAAATTAGCGTGTGGAGGCTCTGTTACCTTGTAGTCGTGTCTGTATTTGTTCTTTAACAGTCCTAGTGTCTGCACCACAGAATATGCATATCTAAGTTCACAAAAAAAACCCACTCTCTGCCTTCAAGTTAGGGAAGTGAAGGCTAGCACTATTTGACATATTGCAGTTAAGTATCAGGGAGAAACTGGCTTTCTATAAGCATTGGTTTCAACCCAGTCAGAGGACATTAGAGGCTTTCCCCCTACTCCAGTTAAATAAAAGAGCAAAAGGTGTATTCCATACCTGGTCATGGCATTAATTTCTTAACCATGTCAGTCTTTGGCGAACTATTATGTAGTCACTCAAGGTTAAGAGATAGTTAGAAACATCAAATATTTACTCAGGCCCATTGAAAAAAGGAGGAGAATGTATTCATCTGGCTTGTTATCATTAGGTTATATTTCATGAGATGACTGTTTACTACCTTTGTCCTGAGGGCATGTTGGACTCCTTAAAAGAAAACAAAAATGAAGTTGAAGGTTCTGCGGCTGCTGAAAGTCCCATGCTTCCTGACACTTCTTTTGAAGGCCCTTCAAGGATCTCAAAGGGATCCTGGAAGAAAATTCAAAAACATTACAGTTTAGACAAGCATCTTTAGTAGCTGTGTGTCTGAGGCTGTGGGTCTCAAGGCATAACCCACCATCTGAGATAAGAACAGCTGATTATTTCTCACTTCTCATTCCTGGATTAGCAACAAGTTCCCTCCTATGTAGCAGTTAGTTAACTCTCATGCTGTCAGATGATCACAGCAGTATTGATTAGGATTTCTCACTGTATTGTCATTGGTCTTCAACAGCAGCTTCTAAGAGACTTGACAAAGAACTGTGAAGTCCATATGCCACAACTTTATTCCTGCTTTCCATATGGCTTCGTATTTGTGGGATTGGATGCATATTCATTTTTTAATGCTAGGTGGTGAACATTCTCCACCTTGTAAGTTCCATCCAGTTTTGCTCAAATTTGCTACTTAGTGGATTATCCCCAGGAAAGACCTGCAGATGGGATGCACCACTGTCATTTAGAGGTGGACTTCCCTGCAGTCTGATGGATAACTAATGGAATGGTGTAGCAGGGATCACTTACGTCCTGAAGCCTCATGCAATACACCTATACCATTTTTAAGCCAGAAATTTCCTTAAATAATCTTTTTTAGTCTTTGACCCACTTTTCAAATATTTTTATCTCTGACTTTAGCAGCACTGATCATTTTGTTTGTATTTGCTGTTCATAGTCACCTTAAGAATCATAAAGCATTATTTTGTCAGCCTTCGTTAGCCTAGCTTCTTCAAGAATATTGGAAAATGTGATTAGGTGGTTTTGGATCTAGATCTTCTAAGTTTTGTTTGAAAACTTTGACAAAAGTTTATCATAGGTTTGTCCTTCTTATTGTGGTTCTAGCTTTTTTTAGACATTTACCATACCCATCTTGTCAGCCCATGTTCATACAGTGATCCACAACGACTGTCAATTTGAGGCACAATCCTAGCCTCATACCTTAGTACAAAATGGTAGTTTGTTTCTTACTCATTGCCAGCTGACTTCAGTCCTGGATACACAAAATCTGTTTTTACTTGAGGGAAGAGAACAAATATTTAGGAAAATTGGATAAGTATTTGTAGAACAACCAAGAAGTATAAAAGAGACCACCTTACTAAGCAACCCTTTCTAGTAGCTTAAATTGTGCATTTCTTATTTAGAAAACAAGTGCTTCAGTCTTCCAGTTTTATTTAGGAAACTTATACACTTGTTTGAAGATTCAGTGTGCAAAACCCGTAACAGCCTTAATTACATGCCCTGAACTGGTTTCCCTCTGGAGATAAAAACTTGAAAAGATATGAACTTCATCTTCCATAAGGCTATTTATGATTTAACATCAATCATGCTTAAAGAGCTGTTCTGAATGGCAATGCTACAGTTCAATATAAACTCAAAACTTCATACTCAGTGTTCATCCGGTGCATATCTTTCCTGTGCTGAGGACTCCAGAGCTGGACACAGTACTCCAAGTGGGGTCCCACCAGAGCAGTGTAGAGGCACAGAATCATCTCCCTTGACCAGGCTTCTTTTGATGCAGCACAGGACACAGTTGGCCTTCTGGGCTGCAAGCACACCTTTTCAGTTCATGTCCAGCTGTTCATCCACCCGTAACCCCAAGTCCTTCTTCGCAGGGCTACTCTCAATCTCGTTATGCCCCAGCCTGTATTGATACTGGGCATTGGCCCAACCCATGCACAGGACCCTGCACTTGGCCTTCTTAAACCTTACGGGGTTTATATGGGCCCACTTCTCAAACCTGTCCAGGTTCCTCTGGATGGCATCCCGTTCCTCAGGCATGTCAACCACACCACTCAGCTTGGTGACTGCAGACTTGCTGAGGGTGCACTCAGTTCCTCTGTCTGTGTCATTGATGAAGCTATTGAACAGTACAGACCCCTGAGGGACACCACTTGTCACCATTAACAGTAATAACTTTTCATGCTAAACTTCCATTTAGACTCTTATGTTAAAAATTTGCAGGACCTTCTGCTGAAAAGCTTGTGAAAATTTTTTGGAAGGTTATAAACAGTGAAAGCCCAAAGGTATTAACTGTTTTCATAAGCAGTCCTAACAGTATTGATCTGCTATTCAATACACAAGAGAAAAATTATGATTCTTTATAAGTGATATTTCAGGGTATTTTTCTTATATTTAATCGATTCTTTCAATATTCATATTACCACTATAGTCCTTGTATTGCTCTTTCAGGTCAGTTGGAAGTGATCATGGATCGCCGGCTTATGCAGGATGACAACCGTGGCCTTGGACAAGGTGTCCAAGATAACAAGATTACAGCTAATATCTTCCGACTTCTGCTGGAAAGAAGACATGGAACAGATGTGGTAGGATTCACTGTCTGGATTTTTCTGGCTAATTAAAATATAAATATGTATTTCTGTTGCAGCAGCAGTGAACTCAGTAAAGAAATTATTCCATGAGCAGTAGAACTAAGGAAACATAGCTTTCAAGGGAGTTTTATCTGCCTTTTTTTTTATTCTTACCATAAAGACGCCATCTTTCAGTATTCCTCACACAAATATCTGCAGTGTCTGCTTTCTTACTCACACTTCAACACATGACTGGGGGAGTTGTGGAAGTCTCTTCTTTTTTCTTTCTTTTTCCTTTTTTCTTTTTTATTAAGGAAACTTTTGAAAAATTGCTAATAAACAAGACTTCTGCTTCTTAACAAAGTTAACTGAATCTGGAAAAAAGCTGATGAATTATTTTAGATGAATGGGTGGAAAGAGAAAACATGTTATAAATAGAATTTTCTTAGGAAATAAGATTTAAGTTGAAATATTTAGATAACAGACATAAACCTTACCACTTCATTATGATTCTGGGAAAGCTGAATTTTGTTGTAAGGGTGCTTTTTTTCTCTCACAGATCATCTCAGTTCACCTTATTCTCTATTAGTTTTTTGAATACTCTTCAATTTTCTTTCAGTTCTTTGCATATTCTCCCTGTTTTTTCCTGTCGTTTTGAGAAGGACAAAAATAAGAAGTACGTCTTCATAGTGAGGCAGTAGAATCACGATGACAGCGCTGAGTATATTTTAAAATTATCACATAGCTAAAGATGAGAGGTTGTATACTGAGCTGCTAATGAATATGCAGATAAATTGGAATTAATTCTGGTTTATAATGGATATCATTAACCACTATGAGAGGATGATAATAACAGGCTTAAAGCTAATTTTCACCACTTCATGATTGACAGTGTTTTTCCAGGTTGTACATGTCATTATGATTTTCTAGTTCCTCATCTTGTTTAACACAGGCAGCATTTTAACTTCCTATATCGGTGTGGTGTGCAAATATCTGAGCTAACTTTAAAGAAGCTAACTTGAGTTCTGCAGCAGTCTGGCTTTGACAGCAGTAAGCATCGCCCAGGTTAGTCTACCTTCACAAGAAGAAACCTGCAGAGAGATCTATACCACAACAGAAGAATTCTTTAGAACCAAGGGTAATTTGTGTTGTATTAAATTAGAATGTGAAGCTGGTAAGTAAAAATTATTGGACATGGAAATCTATGTCTACATTAGCAAATAATTTGAAACAACGGGAGCAGATCAAATCAGTTAGTGCCATGGTGCTTTCATTGACACTATGTGCAGTTTTGGTATTTTCTATAGAACCATGAAATAACTTACTAAAGGTGTCTCTGGAAGTCTACTAGTCCAGTCCCTGCTGAAAGCAGGTCTATTTTTATGTCAGAACAGACTTAAAAAGTTGTCTCAAGGATTAGTCATCCATTCAGACCATAATGGAAATGTGAAGAGTTAGAGCATGTTGATGCATACCTGCAGGGGCGCTTCGTGGTTACTTCTAAAAGAAAACTAGTCCATGCACACTGAGACTCCTCTGCAAACTAGTACAGTGCCTAGTTAAGTGAGGTTGGCCGTAAGCTTAATTCAGAAAAGCACTGCTTCTTCAAACCAAAACACTCCTTTGGAAAATAGTTTCAGGTTACCTCAATTAGAACAAAGGCAGCCTAAACAACTCTGGGATTATCTGATTAGTGAAACATTTACATGTGTCTTTGCATACATTTGCCACTTTGTTTGGGATACCAGTCAGACATCTGCTTAGTAGAATAACAATGTATTTTTCTTTTCTTGTTAAAATCCTTGTCCTTTCCTCCATTTTTGAAAGATTCTGTGCAAGTTGCTGAGAATCTTTCAAAGGAGAAGGGATAGTTACCTGCTATGATCAAAAAATCTTTGAGCGGGTTTTGGTACCAGTATTCCAGCATCTGCGTTCCTTCCCCCTGACCCTTTCTGCTGAGCTTATAATGGTTTTAAATAGCTGCAGAGTAATCCTTTGAGGACAGTTGGTTCTTACATGCTCTTGCAGGGACTTGAAAAGAAGGGGGATCAAAGCTATGGAGAAATGGGCACAGTCAAAGAGATGCTGTTGGCCCAACTGATACAGTGTGCAGAACACCTAGGAGGCAGGAAAGATGTTTTAAGGAAACATCTATCTTTCCGGTGTTATATTGGAATTCCCCTTTGCTATATTGAGTGTTCTAGCATTTTGTTTTTCAAAATTTGTCTGAACATCGGTAATAGTTTCTGATTTATATAACTGCTTCTGATGTGTTAAAGTAAGGAAGGGTAGTAGTCTCCTTTCTTTCTATTTTGTTAAATTTACAAACATTTTTTTTAGTGCATTTTTACTCATAAGGTCATTGTTATAATAGTTTAAAAATAGTCCTGTCAGAAAATTGTGAATAAATTATATGCAGTTTATATATGTAATTGGCTGCAGTGTGACTCATGCACTGACCCTGATTTTGTTGTCAAGCCCGTTTTTGTTATAGACTTGAGGAACCATGGAAGCTACAGGAAGAGAGGGTTTTGATCACTTGGCATCTTTGCCAGTACAATCTTTTCCTGAAGTGTTTTCCAAAATATTTCATTCTGTCTTTTCTCAAAAACATTTCTGAAGAACAGGATTTTTTCTTCTTTTTGGGAAACTTCCCCATGAAAGGAGAGTGTGTGAAGTGTAAAATGTGGAATTCTTTAAAATTCATTAAAATAACTGTGCATCACTATGGTGTAATTACTGTGGAGTTTTTTGGTAATCATAATCTCAACCAAAAGTTTCTCTTAATTTACATCTCCGAAATACTTTTTTTTTCTTCCCCAACCCCACCCTGAACAGCATATTTTAAAGGCAGATCCAAACCACATGAATGTTCTGAAGTGCATGATTGACCTGTCCAGTGGGAAGGTAGAATTCTTAGTAATCGTTAGCATACTTGGGTAGCCTGTATTCTACTAAGTCCCTAATCCTAATGTTACCTGTGTTTTGGCTATTGAATTCTAGCTCATGTAGCCAGTAGTAAGTACTCATGTTGATATTGCTTCTGTGTGAAAGACTTTAGGTTGATTTGTTTTGGTGAAGTTTTTTTATTTATTTTTTCCCCCTAAGCTCGATACTACAAAAGGTGTATTCAGAATGACAGTATTGTTCATCAAGTAAGATATGTATGTAGGAAGAGCTGGGAAAATCTCATTGCACTTTACATTATGCTTACCTGATTTATTGGCAATTGTGTCCCTCAGACCGCTGTTGTTGTTACTGTGTTTTGATACAATTTCTATATACATCTTTTTCTCCTCCTACCAGATGTAACCAGTTCTGCTTATGTGTTCATTTTGTTCTTGCAAGCATTTTTTGATTCTGCATATCTTTTTGACTTTTCTCCTCATATTCATTCTTCTTTTTGCTCAAATTTTTAAGCAAGAACTGAATGTGTTTCATTTTTAAATTGAAAGGATTATTATTTAGCTGAGAATGAAACTGAGTACAGTTATCAATACTTGCTATTTAAAAGAGTAAATGTTTCTTTATTTTTGAAAATATAGACTCTTTATTTTACAGTTATTATAAGTTTTGTTAAAAATAAGCAATGATACCTTTTTACTTTCCAGGCCTTAGTGTGTTATATTAGTATAAGAATATGAATGAAACAGGATTTACAGGAAGTAGTAATATCTTTATATGACACAGTTGGATAAAGGATGCTGTGCCAGGCACACACTTTCTTCTTCAGATTCCTATTTCATACCTTGCCTTGACTTGCTCAATTTATATAACTGGATTTATACCGTAGTCTCAAGTAGAGAGCCAGGATTCAATGGCTCAAATAGCTGCTACAGTTTGGGGGAGGTTCTTTAGAGAAACAATGACACAGGCAGTTAATAACATCACAGATATGTGGCAGTTAGATAATCAAACTCCTTTTCTTCCACCATGTACAACTACTCTCTTTTACTTACTAAATATTTGTCAGTATCCACTTTCTCTGTAAATAAATGCTTGGTGGTACAACCATTTCTGTCTGATTATTGAGTTGTATTTGTCTTCTACTTGATGTGCATATTTATAATGTGTACCTTTCACCTAGTAGCCATATACTATACTGTGCATTTCTATGCTATGTGTAACCACACCTCAACAAGCATAATTAACTTGATGTTTCAAAAAAGCAGAACTACTAGCATTCAGAAGCGTTTTCAACCCCATGTGTGATAACCTCAGATATTCTAATATCATTTTAAGTTATGACTACCATCATGAACTTTCAAATATCTACAAAATCTTGAACTTTAAAGTTTTGGGGTTTTATAGTGGCCTCAGAAGAAAAAACAAGACATTTCCCTATCTTCCTCTCACGCAGAACACAATGTCCCTTCTTCAGAGCCTTGCCACATATATTTAGTAAGGGAGGTACACTTATTTCTTGTTTCATTCGAAGAGAGATTCAGGTATGTGTTAGTTCTTTACAGCTTTGCTTAAAACACTACATTTAAATTATTATTACTGCTACTACTATATAGTTCTTACTATGTTTCTTATACAGGAAGTTTGTATCTGCTGCTCAAGAGCCATGTTTCCATCTCTTATTTATCTACAAAAAATACCTGCTTTCAGGTCAGCACTGTCCTGGATTTTATGCCAGAGCACCTTACAGCTTAATTTCTTTCAAATATTTTTTTTTCTTGACACTGTGACAAAGACGTGTTGCAGACAGATTCTAAATACAGATTTGTCTCCAAGCTCCGTTCATGTGATATTGCCCAGAGCTGTAGGAGTGAATGTTCTTGCCCTACAACAGGGCAGCAGCCACTCGTAGCTGGCTCATGGTGGAGTTGGTAGTACAGAGGAGTGCCTTCCTCTGATTTTTGGACTTACAGCTGTATCTCTTTTCTGGTGGTTTGGTTTTTGGTTTTTTGTTTGGTTTTTTTTTTTTTTGTGTGTGTGTGTATGTGCGTACATCTCTACACGAATTACATTTGGTTGTTTTTATTAATCCTCATTTTTGTGTACCTGTC